TTTTTTTTTTTTTTTTTTTTTTTTTTTTTTTTTTTTTTTTTTTTTTTTTTGTTTTTTTTTGAGACGGAGTCTGGCTCTGTCGCCCGGGCTGGAGTGCAGTGGCCGGATCTCAGCTCACTGCAAGCTCCGCCTCCCGGATTTACGCCATTCTCCTGCCTCAGCCTCCCGAGTAGCTGGGACTACAGGTGCCCACCACCTCGCCCGGCTAGTTTTTTTTTTGTATTTTTTAGTAGAGACGGGGTTTCGCCGTGTTAGCCAGGATGGTCTCGATCTCCTGACCTCGTGATCCGCCCGTCTCGGCCTCCCAAAGTGCTGGGATTACAGGCTTGAGCCACTGCGCCCGGCCGAAGTGTAAGTTTATCCTGTGGGTAGTAGCAGTGGTTTCTTACGCTATCATGGAGTTATTTTAATATTCACTTTCCTGAATGATGAAATATTTTCTTTGGATATGCGTTCATATATATGATTATAATGTGGGTTAATTCAAAGGCAAAGGTGTTTCAACATGAGCTGTTTTTCTGTTTGGGCTGTGGTGAGGTTGATTTTTTTTTTTTTTCTTTTTTTTTTCTGAGACAACTCTTGTTCTGTCCCCCAGGCTGGAGTGCAGTGGCATGAACATGGCTCACTGCAACCTCTGCCTCGGGCTCAAGGGATCCTCTCACTTCAGCCTCCCGAGTATCTGGGACTACAGGTGCATGCCACCACGCCTTGCTAATTTTTTGTAGTTTTTGTAGAGACAGGGTCTCGCCATATTGCACAGGCTGGTCTTGAACTCCTGGACTCGAGTGATCTGCCCACCTCGGCCTCCTAAAATGCTGGGGTTATAGGTGTGAGCCACCATGCCTCGCCTTTGTGGCTAGGTTGATAATTTGAATAGTGGAACAGCTGAGCTTAGCACCTCATTGTTAACTTTGGAGGTGGAGTATGTGCTGATCCCAGAGAGGTGTGATGGGAAAAGTGCTGATAATCTTTGGAGTCAACCCAATTTGATTTTGAGACTGGGCAAGTTCTTAATGTCTCTGGGTTGATTTTCTTTTCTCTAAAATGGGAATGATAATGCTGTCTTTTTTTTTTTTTTTTGAGACGGAGTCTCGCTCTGTCGCCCAGGCTGGAGTGCAGTGGCCGGATCTCAGCTCACTGCAAGCTCCGCCTCCCGGGTTTACGCCATTCTCCTGCCTCGGCCTCCCGAGTAGCTGGGACTACAGGCGCCCGCCACCTCGCCCGGCTAGTTTTTTGTGTTTTTTTTGGTAGAGACGGGGTTTCACTGCGTTAGTCAGGATGGTCTCGATCTCCTGACCTCGTGATCCGCCCGTCTCGGCCTCCCAAAGTGCTGGGATTACAGGCTTGAGCCACCGCGCCCGGCTTGATAATGCTGTCTTTTAAAGGGGACTATGGGCTGGGTGTGGTGGCTCACACCTGTAATCCCAGCATTTTGGGAGGCCGAGGTGGGAGGACTGCTTGAGTCCAGGAGTTTGAGACCAGCCTGGGCAATATGGCAAGGCCCCATCTCTACAAAAAAATACAAAAATTAGCCAGGTGTAGTCCCAGCTACTCAGGAGGCTGAGGTGGGAGGATTGCTTGAGCCTGGGGAGGCTGAGGCTGTAGTGAGCCATGATAATAACCACTGTACTCCAGCCTGGGTGACAGAGTGAGACCCTGTCTCAAAAGTAATAATAATAATGGGGGCTGTGAGGCTGAGCTGAAATGAGGTGTGTGGAGTGCCTCACATAATTTATACTGGCTGATAGTAGATGTTCATCTAATGTTCCCTTCCCTTTTTTGTTCCCATCCAAACAATAACCCCTTAATGAAACAGTCTTAAAGAAAGCTTTTTGTTTTTGTTGTCTGACTTGTCATGCAACTTTTGGCTAAGTTACAGTGATGCTCTGTGGACTCATGTTTTTTTTCTTATGCATACTCTCATCACCAGGTATCAAGGTTACATTGGTGCAGCCCTAGTTTTAGGAGGAGTAGATGTTACTGGACCTCACCTGTACAGCATCTATCCTCACGGATCAACTGATAAGTTGCCTTATGTCACCATGGGTGAGTGTAACATTTCCCTGATGTTTCAGAGTACTCTTACTTACTAAGATGGTCTCTTGAGGAGCTGGTCTGTTTTCTCTTAGAAGAGGAGGTGCAATACAGTGCTTTGATTCATTCAGCAAATATTTACTGAGTTCCTACTACAGATTAGGCCCTGTTCTAGGTGCTTGGTATATAGCAGTGAACACAATTCTAATAGTGATTCCTGCCCTCGAGGAGTTTATATTTTAGTGAGGGTAAATAGACAATAAACAACTGTGAGAAGTATAATACACAGGTATTATAAATATATTTATTATGAATATATTTTTTATAGTCTGAAATCTGAAATGCTCCAAAATCCTAAAGTTTTTGAGTGCCAACGTGATACTCATTGGAACATTTTTATTTTTATTATTTTTTCTTTTTCAAGATGGATTTTTGCTCTGTTGCCCAGGCTGGAGTGCAGTGGCAACCTCTGCCTCCCAGGTTCAAGTGATTCTTCTGCCTCAGCGTCCCAAGTAGCTGGGATGATAGGCGTGTGCCACCATGCCCGGCTAATTTTTTGTAGTTTTAGTAGAGATGAAGTTTCACCATGTTGGCCAGGCTGGTCTCAAACTCCTGACCTCAAGTAATCTGCCTGCCTCGGTCTTCTAAAATGCTTGAATGGATTAGAGGCATGAGCCACTCTGCCCAGCCTCGTTGGAGCATTTTTGATTCTGGATTTTTGGATTAGGGATGCTGAATTGGGTGAGTATAATGTAGATATTCTAAAACGTGAAATCTGAAACACTTCTGGTCCCTAGCATTTTGGATAAGGGCTACTCAGCCTGTATTAGAAAGTGATATTAAGAAAAAAAGGTAATACGGATGGTATTGTACTATAGTTAAGATACTATCTTTGAGAGAAACTGAGTCAAGTTCATATGGAAATGCTCTATTTTTTACATCTGCATATGAATTTGCAGTGATCTTAAAAAATTAAATTCACACATGATAAGGGGACTTGGGAGTTTTGGGCAGGGGCTGGGGTGGAGGCAGATGGCAGTGTTAAATAGAAAGATCAGTGCCAGGCATTGTGGCTCATACCTGTAATCCAGTGCTTTAGGAGCCTGGGGTGGGACGATTGCTTGAGGCCAGGAGTTTAAGACCAGCCTAGGCAAACATTGCAAGATCCAGTCTGTACCAAAAAAATATATGTGTATATATATATATAAAAGCTGGGTGTGGTGGTGTGTGCCTATAGTCCCAGTTGCTCGGGAGGCTGAGGCAGAAGGATTGCATGAGCCCGGGAGTTTGAGGTTGCAGTGAGCTGTGATCAAGTCATTGTACTGCATCCTGGGCAACAGAGTGAGACCTTGTCTGTTTTTTTTTTTTTTTTTTTTTTTTTTTTTTAGAAAAAACAGTTCTTATGAAGAAGATGAGATTTGAGTAGAATTCTAGAGTAGAAGCCTCACATTGAAACTTGTCGAGTACATTTTGACCTACAGGAATGATCATGGTCCTTCTTTACTACTTAATCTCTGAGGGATTAGGGTATTTGCTTTCTGTCTGAACCTCGATTTCCTCACCTGTGAAGTGGTATCAGCAATACCTACCACACCAAGTTGTGATGGTTGGAAATAACATACATAAAGCATGTGCTCCAATGCCCGGTCTGTAAATAGTAGCTATTTTTTTTCCCCCTCTCTTCCTCATTTGCTAACCAGCGTTTTGCATTTATGCTTTAGGTCTAGCTGCTAGATTAGGAGATTTTATTCTTTTGACAGTTTCTCACTCTGCTGCGCAGGCTGGAGTACAGTGGTGCAATCACAGCTCACTGCCACCTCAACTTCCCCAGGCTCAGGTGATCCACCCATCGCAGCCTCCTGAGTAGCTGTGACTACAGCCACGTTCTGCCACACCTGTCTAATTTTTGTGTTTTTTGTAGAGATGGGATTTCGCCATGTTGCCCAGGTTGGTCTCGAACTCCTGGGCTCGGGTGATCTGCCTGCTCCGGCCTCCCAAAGTGCTGAGATTATAGGCGGCTGATAATTTTTTTTTTTAATGACTGCAAAAAATAGTGATAAAATTATATTTGGAAGAATTGGGATTTTCAAGTTCTAGCATTTACGTTATTGCTTCTGGGTCAAATTGCACAGGTCCAGAACTTCGAACAGGTTGTGTGTATTGTGTAGCTGGTGTTTTTCCAGCTGTCGTTTACCCCTTATATTTTCCGTCTTGGTGTCTTGGCTCCACATCTAGGAAAACTGCTGCCTTGAGTAGTTTGGAAATTGCCAGTTTGAGACTTTACTATGCCATTGTGTTATTATCTAGCCTCTTACTAGGTTTTTATATAACAGATGTTCACTGTTTGTTGGGGAGAATGATTTACCCCCAGATACCATATGGATGAATCTTTGCAATTATTCTAAAATGACGATACTTATGGTAATTTTAGAATTTTTCTGAATTGCTTTATTCAAATGTATTTGGTATCTCCATCAAAGTATTGCTTTTATTTCTCCCCATCTGATACCTTTAAATGGTGGTAAAGGTGGAATAACCTTTTCTATTAAGTAGTTTTATTTCTTCTCTTTTTTGCTTAAATTTCAGACTACAGAAAAGTAACAGTAATGTTCAACAAACACTGATCTGTCCTTTGCTCAGATGTGTCAGTTGTTAGCATTTTGCCACATTAGTTCTGCCTCTCACACACGTTGTTACTACTATCATTGTTTCGTGTGCGTGGGGAACCATTTGAGAGTAAATAGCAGGCACCACAACCCTTCACCTCTGAATCCTTCAAGATGTTCTCTTTTAGCACCTTGATAAAGTCATCAAATTTAAGAAGTTTGACATTGATACAAAGCAGCTTCATTTGTAAAATGGGAAAATTGGTTTCTCTTGCCTGTGAACTGTGGTAATTTGTGTCATGAGCATAAAGCTGAATTAGGAAAAGTTGTTGAAAGTGAGTAGGTAAACAGCTTTGTGTCTGCCCATTTCACTTCTGCCACCCCACTTTGTGCTTTTTCCTGGCCAACAGTGACCTCCTGTCTGTCCAAGTCTCATTTGAGTTCCCAGTGATGGATCCACAGCTCTGAGTTTATAGGAGAATTCTATTTAGAAACCACTGACTCCACACAGACTGGTTTTGCTGCCCTAAAATACCAGACTAAGGAGAATGAGACATCAGTAACATGTGATTTTAATACCCAAGTAAATTGTTACTTTGAGGTCTTGTTTGTTCCTCCACTCATATATCAGCTTTTTTTTTTTTGAGGCTGAGTCTCGCACTGTCACCCAGTCTGGTGTGCAGTGGTGCAATCTCTGCTCGCTTCAACCTCTGCCTCCCAGATTCAGGTGATTCTCCTGCCTCAGCCTCCCCAGTAGCTGGGACTATAGGCTTGCTGCAACCTCCACCTCCCAGGTTCAAGCGATTTTCCTGCCTCAGCCTCCCGAGTAGCTGGGACTACAGGCACGTGCTACCATGCCCAGCTAATTTTTGTATTTTTAGTACAGGGGGGTTTCACTGTGTTGGCCAGGCTGATCTCAAACTCTTGACCTCATGATCTGCCCGCGTCTGCCTCCCAAAGTGCTGGAATTACAGGTGTGAGCCACCACGCCCGGTCTTATCAGCTCGTTAGTGAGTGCCTTCTGTATAAAGGAACTGTAGCAGGCAGCACAGATAGAAGTGAATATCAGGGTCTTTGTCCTCAGATACCCAGTCTAATGGGGGAGACAGATGTACACACTGACAAGGGCAGGAGGGGACCCAAGGGAGAAAGAAAGGGTCACTTCCAAACTGGGGGAATTCAGGAAGAACTTCACTTGAGCCGAGTCTTAAAAGGATGATTGGATCTTTTCATTCGTTTGTCAGATGTGTATTTAGCATCGTTAGTGCCAAGCACTTGGCTAGGAGCTGGGAAGATTAGTGGTCAACACATCACCTGCCTCAGAGCCTATAGTCTTGTGCTGGAGACAGGCATTAGACAGGTGAATTCACATGAACCTAGAAGAATGCATTGTGATAAGTGTCCCAGAGGAAAAGAACTTTCATTAGTGAGGATACTAGGAAGGAGTGTGTGGCTAGTGGGTGTTTGGGAAGTCCTTTCTGAGCAAGTGACATTCAAGCATTTTCTAATGAATGTGATTTGTGAACATGACAGAACATTGAAGTGGGACAAAGAAGTATAAGAAAAGTCTCCTTCACATCCCTCCGGAGTAACCACTCTTAAGAATTGTTTGTATTTTTTCCAGAAAATGTGTTATGATATACTTTCACGTATCTCCTTCTCTGTCATGTAGTTACCCCTGTAAAAAAAACACACATAAATGAGCACATGCTATACATAATATTCTTCCCTTACTATTAACTTGTTTTGAAGAAGTGTTTGCATCATCTTATGTGGGCCTATAGAATTTCTGTAATAGCAAGCTGTACAGAATCGCATTATGTGGCTATACCCTGCTTGCTGACCCATTCTTCTAATTAATATCTTGTTTTTCATATTTTGGTAACAAATGTGTCTTGTTCTACTTGTATAAATACATACTTCATTTAGATACATTCTTAGCAGTGGAATTTCTGAATTAAGGTGTACACGTTTTGACCAGAATTCTCTTTTGTAAGCAGTTGAGTCACTGGATGATTTAAAGAAGAGAGGGATTTTTGAGAAAAGTATAGCAAGTGACTCACAACGTAGTTGGAAGGGCAAGAACTGGGTTTGGGGCCAAGAACAGTGTCTCAGTCTATGCCGCGGGCACAGCCGGTGCCGGACCCTGGCTGCCGCAGAACTGAGCCTTCCTGCCATCCCTTCCGCCACCAGAGAGTTCCTCATGGGGAAGGTGGGTGCTTGTGATTGGTGAAGCTCAGATGGCACTGGAATTCTCCGGACAGAGGCAGGAAATACAGCGGCTGGGCAGCCCAGAAAAGGGACAGTGCATTTTACCTTTTGAGAGCTATTGCCAAATTGCTGTCCAAATTGCTGTCCAAAAAGCTGACACGAGTTTATACTCCCACTAAAGAATACAAGGACGCT